CAACAGGCTCATCTTGTGCAACATTCATTTTAAGTTCGACATGAAAGCCAACAAAAGTGCAGCACCAGCGCTCATATCTTGACAGAACAATCGCACTATCGTGAGTCACTGTGCTGGCAGAGCTCCGTTTTTCTTATTGCCTGATGCTTCTGCCACACACCAGTGATAAATGTTGTGTTTTCAACCGAGTGAGAGACACTGTGATGTCCATCACCACGTCAGCAAACCTCTCCACAACTTGCAGCGAACAAATCCACAGAGAGCGAGGAGGGAAAAAAAAAAAAAAAAAAGAAATCAAAACGGGAAAAAACACGGCCAGCAGGCAACAGGATGCACATGGCCCTGAGAAGGATGGCTGGTTGGGTCCAGGAAATGGAGAGAGAAGGAGAGGAAGGAGAGATTTTGGATCACAGCTGCGTTTCGGATTGAAAAAAAAAAAAATCCTGTTTTGAAGCGCGGGGAGACATTTTGTTGTTCTTTCCTCAGACCATAAAGAGGCGGAAGGGCACAGTTTGCCACAGCAAGGGTTAAGTGCGGTGACAGCTGTGCAATCAGCATTTCAGCAAACACAATCCTTATTTTGTTTTGAGAGATGGTACAAATGGCGATCAGCTCATTTCTTTCTATCACTAAAACTCATTTTGCATCCGTGTGTAATAACAAAACGTGCCACCTACTGATGCACAAGTCGTGTTTTTGTGATTTCTCAGACTGTACAAATTACGAAGACGCATATTTGACTTTCTTTTTGCAAGATTTGTAAGTCATGTTGGAGGAATACGTGCATCAAGCTGGCCTTCCGTGAGAACCCTTACCAACAGTAGGCCGTGACATATCAATGACGCTTTTATAGGTTGTCAAATACATTAAATCCTTAGTCACACAGTGGCCGTGAAAGGCCAGAGAGCTGATAAAATCAACGCAGTTTGCTCTGTGACAGCTCATTAACGCAGGACCTGTTGCTGACGTCAGTGGCATGCCGGACAGTGATCCTGCCACACTTCAGCAAATGTTTTTTTTTTTTATTTAAGCTGTTCTGGAAGCCACTATTACATGCCAAAGGTTTAAAAGCCTGAAAAATTCATTCCACTTCCTCAAGTTTCTGTCGTCAACCTTAAAATATCTTCCACATTGTGTCATTTTTATGTATAATACACCTGACATACAGTTGAAATCAGAAGTTTACATACACGGTATAAAAATGCCCCTATCTGACATTAAATGTGACTAAACTTCTCCTGTTTTAGCTCAGTTTGTTGTTTGAACCTTCAGGCATCTGGAAATTGTAGTCAAGGATGAAGCAGACCTGATGAGGTCCACAACTCTGTTCCTGGTATCTTGGCTGATTTCTTTAGATTTTCCCATGTTGTCACAAAAGGAAGCAGTGCGTTTGAGGTGCGCCTTAAAATACATCCACAGGTGTCCATCCGTCCGTCCGTCCATCTATCCATCCATCCATCCATCCATCCATCCATCCATCCATCCAGGTCATTCCAGACTTCCCTCCCCCCACTTTCCAGCTCTTCCTGGGGTATCCCGAGGTGTTCCCAGGCCAGCCGAGAGATATACCCCTCCAGCGGTTTCTGGGTCTGCCCCGAGGTCTCCTCCGAGATGGACGTGTTTGGAAGACCTCCAGAGGAAGTCTCCCCAGAGGCATTAGATGTCCATACCACCTCAACTGGCTTCTTTCGACGTAGGAGGCTCTACTCTGAACTCCCTCTGGATGTCCGAGCTCCTCAGCCTATCTCTAAGGCTGAGCCCGGCCACCCTGCGGAGGAAGCTCATTTCGGCCACTTGTATCCGCAATCTCGTTCTTTCGGTCACAACCCAAAGGTGACCATAGGTGAGGGTTGGGATGTAGATGGACTGGTAAATCAAGAAAGAGCTTCGCCTTGCAGCTCAGCTCTCTCTTCGCCACAACGGTCCGGTACAGCACCCACATTACTGCTGACGCTACACTGAGCTGCCTGTCCACCTCACGCTCCATTTTCCCATCACTCGTGAACAAGATCCCGAGATGTGTGCCTCCAATTAACTCATGTTGTCAATTAACCAATCAAAAGCTTCCAAAGCCATGACATCGTCATCTGGGCTTTCCCAAATAGCTTGACGGCATCTTAGTGGATGTAAACTTCTGACTTTGAAGAAAATAGTAAAAAAATATATATATCTCTCTCGTTATTCTGGCATTTATTCAAATAGAAGTAATGTTGGTAATCCTAACTGACCTAAAACAGGAAAAGTTTCGTCTGATTTAATGTCAGACAGTGAGAAAGAGTTTGATGTCTTTTTATACAGTGTATGTAAACTTCTGGTTTCAGCTGTACCTTTTGATTTAAAATGGTTTGTTCACATTTACCTTCACTTAAAGCTGCATTTATTGTAATGTGGCCACTAGAAACTAAAAATCTAATGAATTAACAAATGTGTGGGGTTCATCATGTTCCCAAAGCAAACTGTTGCCTACACATCCACACTGAGCAACATCTCATCGTTCTTCTTGAGCCAAGTTTCTAACAATCAGATGAATGTAAACGTCCAATTTGCCCTGATTCACCTTCACCGTCTGTCTGCTGTATAATACAGCACAGTTGGTTAAGATATCCATTCATTGGACATAGATGAGGGGTTGTTATGCTGTGATTGTTGCAGCAAGTGACAGGAGGAGAAAAACAGAGGTCAAAGTGGCAGCAGATGGTGGAGAAATGATAGTAAAAGGGAAGAGCGTTAGCATGAGTTGTAAAACCGGGTAATGGTCGTAGATAGCCACAGTCTGTCTTTCTGTTGTGAGTTTGATATTTGATATCTACGGCATTTCATTAAAGTTACATAAGTGGGAACTGAACCTTGACAAATTAGTTTTTCTGCTTTTCTTAAGCATCGGTTCAAGACATTCACAGTGCTGTGAAACAGAAACGTGAACATGAACTCTTTCTCAGCACAGGGTTAAGGTTGGGATTCCTCTGTTTTCTTTGGTATTCTCAACTTCTTCAAATTTAAATTTTGTGACATTTCATAGGAAGCTATTGTACATTTTACTTCATTTATCTGGAAATAAAAAGGGAGAGAGTTCTATGCCCTTACGTCCATGGACCAGCTTCAATAATGAATTCTGACATGGATTGATCAGGACTAATAGTAAATGATGTTGTGCACTTTTCCTTCCTTCAGACAGCTGAGCTGTCACAGTCGCAGCTTAAGGTGCAGTTAGGCTAAACTGTTGGTCTTCAGGTTGAGTCCTGAGCTCCCCCACAGCTGTCGGAGCATTACTTTAGTATTCATTAAAGTCTGATCTGTTAACTTAAAAATATGTCTCCATTAGATCAATATTTTTGAGTTTTTCTCACAGCAGGATTTTTTTTTTTAAATCAGATTTGACCTTACAGTGCTTAACCCTCCCGAATCATCAAAGCCGTGACAGTGAAAATACCTTTTGTTGTTTCATTCTAAGCATCGATTAAAGATGAACGATCCCTCCGTGATCCTCCATAGGTCTCCTGAACAGTGGTTTTGGAGCTCCAGCCATTGTGACTTGACTCCTGGCTTTTACACAAATGAGCAAAGATTTGGAGCGTGAGTGGAGCTGGGGTGGGATTCCCTTAATTATTCATAACTTTAAGCCAAAATACAATTTAAATGGGGGGTCTATATAAAACTCACTCCCTGTACAGCTGTCATGAAGGAGGAAATCAACTACAGAGACTAAACCTGTGTTCTGTTCCAGGCTGTAAACTTGTGTACGTCTCATGTACATTTAGCCATTTTAACATGAGGGTCTGTGGAGATTGACTCACTCTGGGAGTCAGCCTCAAGTGGCCGTTAAAGGAACTGCGGTTTTTGTTGTTTGTTGGCTCTATTTTTCTCCTGCTTGATTGTGTGTTGCTGCAGTTAGACATCAGGCTAAACATAACTGTCAGTGTTTTTTCTCTGCAGCACAGGCAGCAGATTTGGTCTGATTAGTATTAGTTAGACTACTTATTTGGAGTGTTGTAGTACAAAACTTGACAGAGGAACCTTTGCACCACCTGCATATTATCTCCTGGACTATTCAAAGGACAGGTTACCCAAATTACCATTAAGTAAAATCATTCTTAACAATTAAAACCAGTATTAAACCCTATAGGATATACCAGTTGCACACAAGCTGGTAGCTCAGTGGCTCCTAAACATTTGTATCAGGAGGCACAGCATTCAAGAAAATCAGTGTTATGAAGGAACAACTTTACATATGATAAATATATAAGAAAATTCCTTTTTTGTTGTTTAGATTTTTTTCTGTATTTCAAAAATAGACAAAAAACAATCTTGCAATCACAAATACAGACCACAATTTTATATGAAAAATGGAATAACGCTAAAAATGTCTGTAAATAACCATAACATTTCCGCTCAAAAATATATATTTTTTAACATAAAGAGACTGTTAAAATACATTTGCAAATTTACTTTCATTTTGTAAATATTTCTGTTGTTAAAATACATGTATAAATACAGTTAAAGTCAAGTTAAATAATGTGAGTGTTAATAAAAGTAGATGTTTATGCATTGATTTGTTTGTTAAATAGGAAATATCTTATATAACTGTAAAAAGTTTTTACAACAAAAATGCAGAATTAATCTGTTTTCATCATTTTTTATATTTATATTAATTAATGTTTGAGATGTTGCATCTGCTCTAATACTATAGGTTTGTTTTTTTTCTGTTTGTTTGACAGTGTATGTAAATGACAATAAATAAGACTAATTCCAAGGCACACAGAAAGTAGTTTGTCCTTATGTTGCCTATAAAGCACATTATCCCACATTTTATATTGATTTTCCTCCAGTTTCCGGGGTTGAACATGGCTCTCTGTGCTGGGCTCAGCCTCCACTGCTTCACATCCTCACAGCGCCTCTGATCCACGTGTGTGTTTGTGCGCTACGTAGCGGCGGCCGAGCGTTTAAAAGCGGATCTCTGTGCGTAAAAGTCAGTCCACAGCAGCGCGCATGACAGAGCGCACATCTGCCCCTGCAGCGCAGACAGACCTCCGCTTCTCCGCTCGTTTCTCTCTCTACACTTGTCGCCTGGAGATTATTTCGATGGAAAGGATTATTTTTGCCACTTTGTCATAAATCCGAGGCGACATAAAGTTTCCACTTTTTTTTTTTCTGGTCTCGATAATCAGCGCTGTTGGTTTTAGCTGTTTCTCAACTTCAGCCACCGATCTTCTGAAACAGAAGAGAAAATGTAAGTGACATTTTTCTTTTAACATTTCATGTATAGAGTATTAATTTTCTAACAGTTCTGATCCTAATTTGTTTGATTAATTCTGTGTATTGGACTCCATCTCCATATATTTAAACTTCAAATAAAATAAAATAAAATAAAAAAATCATCCATCAAGAGTTTAGTTTCAGGAATGCCTGGAATGCCTCTTGCAATAACGGAAACAATATATAAAGTCACATTAAAAGCTTTTTTTTAATGGAAAATCAAGAACAAGAAGCAGTAAGATTATATCCAAAAGTTAGAGGTGATGCTGTGGATCTTATTAGAAGGAGATGGTAAAACAAAGATGATTCTTATTAAACCAAGTGACCATCGACTCTGTCAGTGTTTCAGGATGTGATTCCGGAAAACTCAATTTGAATTTTCATTAAGAACAAATTCAGAGATTGGATTTCGTTCCTATCTTATAGCTGCCTGTTGGCTTCGCTTGCTTCCAAAACTGATCACTTTGTTGGTGGTTATTGGGGGAGAAGAAAAAAAAAAAAAACCTCTCCCAGGGGCCCTCATGGGAGTGTCTCTCTGAGTGGTCGTGAATGTAACGAGCCCTGGCATGACATGATGGAAATGTGAGAATCCCAAGTACATTCCACATGTTCCTCCAGAACACACTGATGCTGGCTCAATAATACCGAAAAAGTTTACGACTGCGATTATATAAGAACTAAACAGACGAATAAAACTAAAGACGCTGCGTGTTTCTTTAGAAGTTATTGAGTCTCAGAGCAAATTAGAATAATAAAAGCAGCACAAACCAATGGGAGGGAATATTTGCATTTTACATTGAGGGTTTTTTTTTTTGCCTTTCTATGGAACAGGTTGTGTAACAAAAAGCAGAGAAATTACAGCCTTTCCTGAGGCTATGCTTTGTTTCCTGTCCACACATAAAACAGCAAGTATACCTGGAGGTAATGAAAACATAGGGGAGCCTATTATGGTGACAGTCCTTCTGTTTTTACTGGCTTTGCTACAAACAGCAACTATTCCCATGTGGGTAATCTAACCATGCAGTTCAACCTGTAAAGAATTTTGAACCTGTGAATTTCTGCCTCTGCAGTTTAATTTGTTGACTTTGAAGTGGAAAACTTTTCATTAGAGAGGTTTGTAATCTTAGATCTATCACAATTAAAATGGTTCAAACACAAACAACAAGTCAAGGCCTTCTAAACCTAAGTTTTGAAGCTCATTGTTTGATATTCTCCGGAGGGATTCCCAGTATGCGCCGTATGGGGATTATCTGTGAATGTGGTGTAAATACAGTTCAATGTGTAGCTTTCCCTCTATTAAACGACATTAGATCATTTCTGCCCTGTCTGACTGACATCTGTGATTTTCCTCTTCCCGCAGAATGAACAACAGAGATCGCTGGAGGGTGTATAAGAGGGCGAGCGTCATGTTTTTCCTGGCTGTGGTGGCGCTGACTGTTGTGCAAAGAGGCAGCATCAGTATGGGGGCTCCCTTTGAACTGGAGAGGCAGGCTCGCATGCATGCCTCTCAGGGAGCCGAGCCCGGAGCCGCTCTGGAAGAGAAAACCGACTCGTACCTTGGGATGAAAGGCTTCTGGAAGGCTGGCAGACATCCGCCGCAGCCTAGAGCTCAGACCCCCACAAAGGAGCCCGGAACCACGGACGACGGCGGCCCCAGAACCTGGGACGTAACCAGCTCCAACTGCAGCGCCAACCACAACCTCTCCAGCCAGGAGTGGTTCAAGGGACTGGAGGACAATTTTAAGCAGTTTCTGCTTTATCGACACTGCCGGTATTTTCCCATGCACCTCAACCACCCAGAGAAGTGCACGGGGGAAATATATTTGCTCATGGTAATTAAATCGGTGGCTACCCAGCATGACCGCAGGGACGTCATTCGGAAAACTTGGGGCAAAGAGCAGGTGGTGGACGGCAAAAGGATAAAGACCCTCTTCCTCCTCGGTAAGTCCTCCAACGAGGCGGAAAAAGCGAACCATCAGAAACTTGTGGAGTTTGAAGACTACATCTACGGGGATATTCTCCAGTGGGACTTTTTAGATAGCTTCTTCAACCTAACACTCAAGGAGACCCACTTCCTCAAATGGTTCCACACTTACTGCCCCGGCGTGCGCTACGTCTTCAAGGGGGACGATGACGTGTTCGTCAGCGTGGAGAACATCTTGGAGTACCTAGATAGCAGCAACCTCAACAAGAACCTGTTTGTTGGGGATGTGATTTTAAAAGCTAAGCCCATTCGTAGAAAGGAAAACAAATACTACATCCCCCCGGCTTTGTACAATAAGACGCACTACCCTCCGTACGCTGGTGGAGGGGGGTTCCTGATGGATGGGAATCTGGCGAGGAGGCTTTACTGGGCCGCAGACACCCTGGAGCTCTACCCGATCGACGACGTTTTCCTGGGGATGTGTCTGGAGGTGCTTCAGGTCACTCCTGTAAAACACAACGCCTTTAAGACGTTTGGCTTGGTGAAAAATAAGAGCAGCAAGATGAACCGAGAACCTTGTTTCTTTAAGAACATGATCGTGGTGCACAAGCTGCTCCCGTTGGACCTCATGCACATGTGGCATCTGGTCAACAGCGACCTGGTGTGCTCGCAGAAAGTGGAGATCCTATAGCTTGACGAGAACACCAGGTAAGGCCAGTGGCTGAGCTTTACTTGGGTGGACGCCAATAGGAAGTACAGCACATGACGCGAGAGGCCAACTTCCCCATCTCTCCTTTATGTGGAGAGGTGCCAGGACAATATTTGAATTTGCTTTTTCTGAGCATTTCCGCAATTTTTCGGAGGACCTTCTTCTAAAGTCTAGTAAATTATACAAAGAGTTTTTTTTAAAAGGTTGACTTAGAATATTTATATTGGCATTTTGAAGGACTCACACTGTCAGCATGCAGATTTAGCGATGCCAACCTAGTGGCGCTGCTGTACTGATGGTCGACTAAGGAGGACAGCCACTTGTTCTACACTTTGAGACGTCTTGTTCTGCATCATATTCTGCTGTGGGCCCTGATGCAAATGTTGGAAAAGGGGTCTCTCCCTTTTGTCACATGCATCCTCCACCTCCCCTCCAACACCTAGTCCCCCTTTTCCTTCTGCTTTCCTATGGTAGTAGAATCAGGAACCAAGAGCCTTGTGGCAGCGACTTGCCACCATAGTGAGCCCATAAATGTGAATACACCTGGAATATTTAAGGCAAAGATTATTACCAGGACAAGTGGTTAATCAAATCATAAATCAGTTTCATTTGCTGTAACATACTGTGCTTTCAGATAGATCAGAGGGAAATAATATTTGGATTAGATCGATATTGAAAAATACAAGAGCAGGTAGTGTTAGCGGGTGCCCCAGAAGTTTTGGAAGCCACTGCACATGCCCAGTGCAAATGGCTTCAAGTTGGAGAAAGAAACAACTCTCTCTACCTCAGCGATTCGGGAAAAAACACCTAATTTTATCACTGGTCACCATTTGAACGACAAGTTTTTATTATTTTTTTCAAAAATATATGCAGTACATTTTCCTAAAGTGAGATTTAAATCACTTTTTTTTGTATTGTAGAGGTCTTTGCACTCATTAAATGTGTCCGACTTGATCTGGACGTCTACTGCATGTACACTACTGGGAGAAGAAAAAAAAAATGTCTATACTTGTTATTATACTTGCTGTCCGTAAATTTGAATGTGCTGATATACTTGACATGAATTAGGTAGAGGGTTTACAATGACACTGTGAACTAAAACTATTGCTGGTACGAGAATATACGTGTTAATTTAACTGTCCCCCGGTGAAAGGGGGGGTAAATTTGGGGGTTCTTACGTTTAATTTAAAGCGACAGATGAACATATAAATGGATAAATGATCATAAAGCTGAACGCTGTGGGTGTAGTGTGTGATGATTATGTCTAGATGATGTAAATATATGTAAAAACAAAATAAAATAAAAAAATCAATGTGTACATAGAATGTTGTTTGTAAATAAACGCCTTGACAATACAGCTGTTGTTGAAAATCTGTCCTAGATCGGCGGTTTTTGTGTTTGGCCTTATCGGCATCCAACATCTATGTGAAAATCTGCATCAGGTCACCCAACAATAGTGTCCTGTGTTGACATGTGGGTATCGGTTACACAACTAAACAATAAGGAGAACATACATTGCTCAAACAAACATCATATTGATGTACAGTGTATTAAGTGTTATCATTTTATCAATATGTTTTCTCTATAATAGCGCCATCCTGTGATAACTGATTGAGAAATTTCCATAACTCACACACTATTTAAATATAAGAGGCTGCTTCATTATACATTGTACACTTCGAAATCTGAGACTCTCAAAAAAAAGAACAACAAAGAAGTTCCCCCACTTCGGCTTAACTTTGCCCACTCACCGTCTACTTTGCATTTGTTGTCAGAAAGCGACCGCAAATACTCCTGACTCGGTGTGACATTTCACACTGTTTATGTTAAGTGTCCCTGTCAAATATTGTGTGTCTTTTCACCGAGCAGAGCCGCCGAGACTGATATGGCACTTCAACAGTGAACGTACTGTATGGAAGCTTTGAGTTGGCCCAAAAACACAAAGAGGGCACCACGAAACAAAAGAAATGCCTGCCCCTTGTTCTTCGCCAAAGACAAGAGAGAGACGCATAGAAACTGGATCGCCTCTATATTGTGTTTCGCGATGGTACACACTCGCCAACTTAGAAGCGCAGCTTAAGGTTGATCTCTTTCTGCTGTTGCCTTTGTCGAGCACAATGGAGACGTGATATGAAGTCAAATCTGTGAAGAAACTGGGCTCAACAGCCTCCATTGTTGGGTGGTCGTATCGTTTATCAGTGTGGTTTATTCAACGTGTCCTTACGAAGAAGGTGCCATCATTTACTGCAAATGTTGCTATTTTAGTCCGACGCCGCCAAGAGCGTCCGGCAAAACGGAACAAGAGATTGGAATAATAGTAAGAAAGTGTGTTAAGATCATTTATTAGCAGTTTTGAGTTCATAGGTGTGCCCTGTTGGATATGAGCTTGGATTAGAGGTCAGATCCTGCCGATACGAGGGTAAACAGGTATATGGTTTTCTTTTTTTTTTTTTTATCAGACAATGAGTATATTTAAGTAGGAGCTGTTATTACCTTCTGACATGTTTAGACTCACTTCAGTCTTGCTCAGAAACATCACTGACGTCTGTGGTGACGTGTCTTTATCAGCTGGTGGTTTCCTGGAGGAGTTTGGCAGGTGGGTCACGCCTCCTCCATAGATTAAAAAAAAATGAAACCGTATACCTGTAATCAGAGTAGACAAAATTAACCTAATCACGCTATGAGGGTAAATGGTCGGCACTTATGCAGCGCTTTTCTACCTTAGCGGCACTCAAAGCGCTTTACAATGTGTTTCTCATTCACCCATTCACACACATTCATACACCAATGACGACAGAGCTGCCATGCAAGGTGCTGCCTGCCATTGGGGGCAACTTCGGGTTCAGCGTACTGCCTAAGGACACTTCGACTGTGGAGGGGCGGGGGATTGAACCACCAACCTTAGGATCAGAGGACAAGTGAGTTTCAGCTCCACGATGATTTTTTAAAAATTCAGTATTGATTTATTTTCAGATTGGCCACCTGATCTCTGGATTTGATTATGAAAACTAATTTTAAAAAATCCTGAGGTGTAGGAATGCAGTATTTCGTGATCTGTGATCACTTCTTTTCCAATTCATGTCTATGGGAGTCAGGGCTTTTTGGAGCCAGGACTAGCGGACGTAGTGATATTGCAGGTTTTTGACACTTCCCGGTTGGCTTCATTTTTCAGGGCCGGTTGCTACGTCCATCTTTTATACAGTCTATGTGTGCCACAGACCTGCCAGCGACCTCCAGGTTCATGTTTCCCAACAGCCTGAACTGTGAACACGCAGCCAGACGAAACGAAGAAGGCAAACAAACGACAAGCGTCGCTTCATCAACATATCGTCCGCACCGTAGTTTTTTAAAGCAGCATTCAGCGCAGTCTCACAGAGCCACCGACAGAGCTGTCTCATAACCTTGTTGTTTTTTAATTTATTTATGAACCTCAAAAAAATACTGCATTTCTTTTCCTTAACAACCAGGACCTGCACGACTGTTATATTAGGTAAATAAAGGTGACATCTGTATGGCTGATACAAGGTCGATATTTCATTTCTAAGTCTTCTAATGTTTTGGGGGTTTTTTTTACACAAAAGAGAAGTGGCTGTAAAATGACTGTCGGACATAATTATGATTCTTTTTTTATGTTTATTTGGGATGAAAGCAAACATGTAAATCATCTGTAGTGTAAGCTGCAACCCTCGCTGAACCAGAAGCAGTTCCCGTGTGTGTACATTAGGATGCACTGACTTTTATGGTGGGAAGTCATACTTTTTAATGGCCGTCGCTCAAGTGTGTATGTGTGTGAGGCACAGAGAGTTGTTACCCAGTAAAAAAAAAAAAAAAGAACAATTGATTCTCACCTGCCTCTTCAAAGCGGTGGTCGTCAAACTTCTACTCCGCCAGACAAAAGACATGACGGGGGAGTTAGGCGGTCAGGAGATTGCCTACAATTTGTGCTCAGCAGATGAACTTTTAACTCTCTGAATTGTCTCCCAGCCAAAGGGCCAAGTTAGAAAAACACTGGCTTTGTGGCTGGGAGAACTGACCTATCAACCATTAGCCAAATTTTACTATAATCTAGTGTAAATGTCCCACTGCGGTGATGATATTTGGCTGCATGCAAGTACGCAGCCGGCCTCCCGACCTGCCTGCAGACCAGGAGCTTCATATTTGCTGACACTAATTGGAGGAAGCTTTTGATGTCGGTGTGGTCAATGGGTCGGCCGGACGGGAACGCAAAGCTTTCACACTGGCGCTCTATTTTCTTCAAAGGCCTCTGGAACAGCGTCACTGGCGTGGTTAGAGATGGGAATGTCATTGCTTTGGCTAAAATTAAAACGAACATTCCTCAACCTAGAGGCTGCTCACAAGCCTATCTGCTCATTCAAATCATGTAAGATTACTGCTCACCACTTATTAACACATAGGTTGTTTCCTCCTGACTATATCCTCACTTGTGCTGTATCTGCTCACTTTGGATAAAAGCGTCTGCTAAATGAAACTGTAGAATCGTAATCGTACGTGCAGTTGTTCCCCTGCAGAGCGGGACATTGCACAAATATTCCAGCAAGTTTCAAGACACAGAATGTACCAGAGCCTGCCTGATACTGGGTTTTTCAGGCCGCTGTTTATTAACTTTCCAGGCATCGATCTAGCGTCTAACTGTGAAGACACCGCTTGGCTCTACCTCACCGCCTGCTCAGCTGTGATGGGTGCTCTGCTGCATGTGCTGCAGACAGAGTGGCGTAAAGAAGGAAGTTGGGGCTGCTCTGCCGGACAATCTGGGTGATTACTTACATTAGGTGTCAGTTTCGGCATTATGTTCTGTACAGACATTATGGAAAACATATATGCCAATACATGAGCCGAAAATATCAGTCAGGCTCTAAAAATATACAGAAAAAATGGCTACTTGGAAAAAAAATGTTCTCCCACTGCTATCAGGCTCTTAAACGGAAGCCTACAATCACGGACTGCCTCAGTACTGTTTACGGTTTTTATTGCCGAACATTGCACATACTTGCTGACCATTGCAGATAAAGCTGATGTTACACTACTTCTTATCTTGTACAGTCCATTGGTCACTTAAATAGTGCTTTTATCCAAACCGCTTTACAGTGTGTTTGTCATTCAGCCATTCACACACACTTTCACCAATGATTAAAGAGCTTCCATGCAAAGTGCTGCCTGCCATTGGGAGCAACTTCGGGTTCAGTGTCTTGCCCAAGGACACTTCGACTGTGGAGGGGCGTAATGTCCACTATACTGTATAATGTTAACTTAATATTACCACCCTGCGACAAAGGAACAGTTTCACGCGTTTGTTGCCAGAAGTTAGCAGAAAAGACCAAAACCCCTCTTATGCTAGATGGAGGGTTTGAAGCTGCAACTTAGCCACCTAGCTTAGCACAAAGCTAAGCTAAGCTACATATTTACTTCACAGACATAAAAACGGAGTCAATATCTTTATCTAACATTCAACGAGAAAGGAAATCAGTCAAAACTAGAAAGAAAGTTTTAAAAAAAAGAAAAAGAAAAAAAGCTGAACAATGCTTTTTTAACATTTTGGGTAAAGGTGACAAAATAAAACACACATGAACCACAGATGAATGATCCGACCGTTGGCACTAACATTATGCATGCTGATATCACAGTAGGACTCCATGTTATTCCTCAACAGTACTCTACAAACAACTTACAGTCCAAATCTAATGCTGTTCAGACATCAGCGCTCTCTTCCCGTCTAGTCTCCAAGTCGACCAAAGTGCTTGTGTGACGGTGTAACAGCCTGCATTGTAGTCCGCCATCGATGAAACTGAGCACAATGTGCTAACCAGTACGAACATCCAGGAAACGTGTAGACGATAAATTTGTACTCCTACGTCCACTCGGCAGAAGGACGGCGTTGTCCTAGACTCCCTGTATCGCACTCGAACAAAACCCGAGCCATTGTGCCTTCACATGTGTGCTATAGTACACCCTGCACATGACAATGACAAAGATCCTCTGTGAACGGGTCTCTGAGCAGTATACTCCCATTTAAAGAGGGCCCTTTTAGAACTAAGCACATGAGATAGGTATCAGTCTCTGCCCTCGCTCCTCTTCACAATGCCCTATTTACTCAGCATCAGGCTTTGTAGTTTTATGTTTGTTAGTCAAAAATGAAACACGAGGGTAAGATATCAGCTCTCATCCATTGTTTCCCGCATTAACCTTTGCTGTTTCTTAGGCTGCTAGTTTTGTTATTTACGCGCCCTTTCTTCAAAACCAGCAAGAAAAGCAGGGGGTGGAAAAAAAAACATGAAATACAGCTGAACTGAAAACAGCACTCAAAGGTGAACTCAGAAACAGAAAAGAAGGCTCACAG